CGATGAGCCAAAGCTTGATCCTTTTCCTGTCTCTGCTACACACACCACAGAGAGATGCTGAGTTTATTTATAACAATCAAGAGAATGCGTCTGTCATTTCATGGGAAACAAGGTACCTTTACAGAGGATTTTATACCCAGGCTCCTGCCACACATTCCAGGTACCTGCACCAGGCTCTTTGTTGAGCCAGGGCTGGCATCAGCAGCCTCTGTCAGGAGGGTACCAAAGCAGCTCCCTCACTGCTTCCCACCCGCCCTCTGGCTTTCCAGCACAGACCAGCGATGGGACACAGCTGTGTGGGTAAAGCCCCTCCACTCCAGAGCTGCAGCAGCTGCAAGGAGCAGGCAGCATGGCCAGGGCTTATGTGAGCATGGAGAACTGGGGGGTCCCTCACCACCCCTGGGCACATGCCCAGAGCAGCATGTCCTCTCTGCAAAATGTCATTCCAGCAAGAGCCATTCCCCCATCTGGCTGTGCTCCTTTGGCTGGCTGGTATCCCAAATTCATAGAGCCAGTGACTGACCAGCTGAAGGAGCCATTCCCTGTCATCAGCACACAGTCAGGACTGGCAGCATCCATTCACATTGGAAGTGACTCCTCATTTTTCACATGCTTCCCAGTAACCATGCCAGCTCTTCCACACATAACTCCTCACTCCCAACCCTGAATCCTTCTCTTCACTGAAGGCTGCTCAGCCAGTGCCTTCTCTGAAGTACCCCTGGGGTATGGCACCAGGCCCAGCTCCTCCCTGTCCACCCAGTTCTCCCACTTCAAATTTCTCCCTAAAATTCTTCTTTGTCACCCTGGCCAGGCTAATGCCACCCCCTGCTCAGAGCTCTGCTCTGGCTGCCACCATCTCCCATCTTTTGCTTTGCACCCAAGGGTTTGATTTGGGACCTACTCCATGTATCACAGCAGCGTTCCTGGAGATCCTCCACAAATAAATAAATGTGTGTCATTACCTACAGCTGTCAGAAGTGCAACCTTGTCACCTCCAGATTCCCACGTCCCAGTAACGCTGAGCACTTGTTTAGTCTTCTCACAGGCAGGGAGGAGCACCAGCACCATTAAATCAGTTTGGACAGTTGCAAGCTGGGGCTGAGAGCAGAAGGAACTTCTCTTTCCACCGAAGTCGGCAGCGATGCTCCTGCTGCATTCAGGCTTTGTGGTTCCCATGATGTACACACAGCTCAGAGGCTCTTTCCCAGCCCACAGTAATATCATTCTCAATACACAGCTTTCTTCACTGCAAGACCCCATCAGAGCACGTCTCACAGGATGTCTCCTCCTCTTCCATGAGTATCTTCATTGTCTGAGCCTACACCCCAGCCCCGCGCTGGCCGCCTGCCCCTCCACCAGCTCCGCCAGTGCTGCTCCATCACAGCTCTCAGCAACAGTCACTCCTCACCACGGCTCCCCAGAGCAGATCTCCTGTTCCTGGCACCTCTCCTGGCACCTCTCCTGAGCCTGGGGAGAGCTGTGCCACTCAGCAGGGCTCTGGCTGCTGGAACTGAGGTCTGTTCCCGTTGTGGGAGAGCCTCATCCTGCTGCCACATGTGGGAATACAGCCCCAGCCTGCCTTACAGCTGGGCTAGTTTTTCCCATCTGGGGGGAATTGCTGTTTACACAGAGATAGGAAATGTTATCCCTCCTACAAGAAGTTTCTAGCCCTTCCTGTGGGCTGGCCAGGCCCACATGATACAAACCTCTAATAAAAATAAGGTTAAAAATACGTGTCATCCGTGTAACCAGAACATCTAGAAAGTCTGCAGCTACCGCCTGCAAACTTCAAACGCCAAGGCACACAAAGAAAAATCTTCAATGCCTCCCTAACAAAGCTGGCCACAAAATCCTCTTTTTCCTAGAAAACAGGATACGCCTGCTACAGCCTAATCTGAAGTGATGAGGCCTCCCCAAACCACCCTCCTCAGCACATACACTTTTACCTAGAGGAACACTGCTCCCAGGGGGTGGCTGCCCGCAGAGCCCCCTCCCTCCATGCCAGGTCCAGAGCTGCTCTTGCCTGCCCGGGTCAGGGATTATGGTCCCTGCTCAGGAGCAGAGGAGCTGGTGGAGAGAGGGAGTGTTTTGCCTGTGGCTGCAAGGCAGGAGTGTGCCAGAGCCCAGCAGTGGAGTTCCCAGCTCTGCTCCACCTCTGCATGAAAGGCTGGCACCACTTGCTCCTGCAGCAGTGTCTGCCTGGAACCAAAGGCTGAGGAGTGTGATGGGGAGAGGAAGGGGCATTAAACTGCAGAAGAAACTGAAATCCTGGTCTCAAAGATCTCATTTATGCAGAAGTTTCAGCTGGGCATCCGGGAGGAGTCACAACATCCCTCAGACTGTGTCTAGAGATGTTCTCTTAGTGCTTCCAGCCCAAGGCAGACACTGCAGGTGGGCAGTGGGCTCGGACAAGCTGGGTGAAAGCCCCCCTGGCTTCTTCACACACTCTTGCCTTTTCCAGGCGTTTCTCAGGCTGCCAAATGCAGGCAATGTTCCCCACTTCAGCTGCAAGGCTGACCTGAGAGCAACTGCAAAAGGCTGGGAGAGCTTGGCACAGATAATGGCATCAAGGAACACGATGGGGACACCCCAGGATTTGATCTCTTGGGAATACATAATAAGGATCCTTCCCGGGGTAACACTCTCCAAAATGCTGAGGAAGCTTTTCAAGTCTGATAGTGAAATTAAACTGAAAAATGCATCTCAAATAGGGTGCATGGATCCTCTGCTCAGTTTGGAGAGCACCGTTGTTTTCAGACTTTTCCTGCGGGGGTGTGTGTCCCCATTGCTTTTTGGCTGCTGCTATTACTTGGGTATTTATGGTGAACGAGGGCACATACCTGCAACTCCAAACTGCTGCCCTTGCCTTGTCCTCAGCTCTGATGAGTCCATCAGCAACACGCTCTGCATGAGAATGGCCTGGCAGGAGCACCCATGGGCTGATGGCTGCCTGCACCCCTACGGCAGCCCCGGGGCGCTGCCCGGGAGCTGAGCACCATCCCCCGCCAGACACCCCCATAACTATGGTCATCACCCTGCAACCTGCCCTTTTATTCGAGTATATCTTTCTTGATTTGAGAATTGAGTACCGCCCGTGCCATAGCTGGGCTCATGGCACACGCATGGCACACGGATCATATCGCAGGAGGAATCACCGAATTTCCTGGTGATTGTTTCAACAGGATGTTGTGCTCACGTACGTCAGCCGAGACTCTTCTTCTCGAATCCCGTCATTCAACTTTCCTCAAGAATTTGGTTCGCTGCCTGAGAAATTGTTCAGCAGCGGTGTCACCGTCCTGCCGGACCTGCGGGCGCGCACCCAGAGCGCCCTTCAGCAGCTCCCAAAGCATCACCCTGGGGAGACACCGGCAAGGAGAGGTCCGCCACAGACTGCTCCTCACCTGGGCTCAAACCAGGCAGAAGGCTGACTCGTGTCTGCTTTCAAGTTTTCGGACACAGAGTACAAGGGAAAATGTGATAGCTGTGAAAATGTGCGATAATTAACTGCAACTACTAATTTACACTTGGGGAAAATTGCATAGGGCTGTATGCAGCATTTTAAAGCCAGAGGGGAATTCTGTGTTCACACATACTGGTATCCAGTGCTACCCCCTGCATCCCATTCCCTGGAGGAGTTTTAGTTCAGATTAACTCATTTTCAGACACAAGGATTTCCCATGGTTTAAACATGCTGACTTGGACGATTCACCACGGAAACGAATACATTGTTCCAATATGAAAAAACTACTTTGTTTAAAGGTGTCCTAAATATTTAGGATCAATTTTTTTCACCCCAAAAATCGAGGTGCACAGTCCCACCTTGGATCTATGAAACAGAAACTTTCCCAGCTGGTCTGGGAGATAGAGAGGGAAGAAAAGGAAGTTGGAAGCTATTTCCAGCCAGACAACCAGGAAATATCTCTTAACTCCCCATCATTAGTGGTACTTAGCTGCTTATCTCCTTGTTTATACCACTGCGGGATAGTCTCACAATGAAAGCACTATAAAATTTCCAATATTCTCATTTGCAATTGCAAGTGTCAGTAATAAACCAGAACACCTGTGGGCTGTCGAAGTTTTACCTTCCACAAAGGTTTTTACACACTGTCCTCTGGTCCGACAGACGGGGAACACCTTCCCTGATAAAATGGATCACTGATAGTGGAATCCTGGGGAGCTCCTGCTCCTGCTCAAGGGAAGCTGTGAAACAGCAATTTAAGGCAAGAAAGTCCTTCAGGATGGAATCAGTTCCATTGTCCTCTGCGGGAATAAATCAAGTTTCAATATTCTTGGACCAAGGCCTTCCTCCAAAGACCAAACAGAAACAAGACTGTGTAACAGCATGAGAAGGCAATTCCTCTGCCTTCCTACAAGACATCTTTGAGCCAAGGAGACCTCGTGCATATGGATTATGTCGAGAATCGAGTCTGAAATTTCCCTATGGAACCCTGACCCCATCATTTTCTGCCTATGGGCTGGCTCATCCTAAGGCTGCTGCTTCCTTGCCCAACATCTGCTCATTCCATGGAGTCCAGTCTTAGGATATGGGCTGCCAGTCCCATCACCCTGAGATAAGCAGTGCTGGGAACAGCAGTCGGAGAGTGAAAAGCACACTCAAGTTTCAGTTCTCAAGTGGAATTTTCGGAGAAAAAAACAAAAAAAAACAACAACCAACAAAACAACAACAATAAAACCCAATTATTCACCTTATAAACCATGGTTTTAAGCCTTTTTTTTTTTTTTTTTTTTTTTTTAGGTTTTTGTAGAGTAAAAAATCTGACAGTACTCAGCTGCCAGCCAGCTCTCCAGCCCCCGGCTCCAGCGACCCCCGGCGTGCGCTGGGGCTGCGGGGTCCAAGGGCCACCCCGGGGTGCTGCCCGGGCCGGAGGGGCCCCGCATGGCCCCGGCGCGGTGCGGGACCGGCGGTGCGGAAAGTGCGGCCGCCAATGCTCAGGCTGAGGCGGGGCCGGGACCGGGGCCGGGCGGGCGGAGCCGCCGCCGCCGCCGCCGCCGCCATGGGGCTGCTCAACTTCACCCGCGACCCGGTGCCGGAGGCGGTGAGCGGCGACATGCACAACCTGAACCAGCTCAGCGCCCAGGTGTGCCGGTTTGGGCCGTGTTTTTCCGCCGGGGCGGGGATGGGCGCGTTTGGCGGCGGGGGCAGTCCCGGACGCGGAACCGGCGGGGCGGCGGCACCGGGAGCTGGATCCGGGCGTTGTGCCGGTCCCACCGCGGCTCCAGCCCCACGGGCCCCGTGCCCGGCGGTACAGCCCCGATCCAGCCCCTCCGAGCTGTTGGAAGGATGTTTATAGAATTATGGAATCCCAGAACGGCTTCGCCTCGAAGGGACCTTAAACACCATCTTAGTTCCACCTGCCCGCCATGGGCAGCGACACTGGTGGAGTTCCTGGTGGAGGGCTCAGATCGTGCTTGGTGGGCAGTGGAGTCCTGTCAAGAACTGGGGTTTGTGGTGGGACCACACAGTGTTGGGGTTGTGATTCCCACCCCAGATTCCCACCCTGCGCTTCCTGCCTCAAGCTGAATGGTTCTGGTCATTGGTACCATCTGCCTCCAGGCCACCGACACTGGCTGTGCAGCTTGGACTGAAGTTGGTGGAAACGCTGAGGCTTTTCCAGCCCAGCTTGCCAGGACTGAGGATATCAGCCTGGTGACAGCCCTGTGCCATCTCTGTTACAAGGCCGAGGCCAAGGGCAGGGCAGGATCTGCAGCCCCAAAGCAGCCAACACCACTTTTGGCCATACCCAGAAGGTCACAGCCAGTGCTGGTGCTGGTGCCAGCAGAGGAGGGTGCTGGTAGTGTTCTGCCACTCGGGGAGCCTCTCCATCCCTGCCTGCCAGCTGCAGATCCAGAACACTGAAAACAGCAACTAGACCCTTAATCAGTTCTCTTCCTTTCCCCAGTCACTCTGGTTACCCCGTGGGGTTTATGAACCATGAGACTGGATGTTCACAACTTTTCCCACTCGCACTTTTTGGATTGCACAAGATAGAACAGCAGCTTCCGATTAGCCACAAGTCACAAAAGCTCTGTGCAGTGCCAGCTACCAACTGCACAGACCCCTTGAGAGGGTCTGAAAAGCATCCTGAGCAAATCCCATCCACAGGCATCACATCATGCCAAGGACAGAGCACCAGCACAGGTCCAGCTCTGGAACCAGTGCTGTGGAGGCGGGTGGAGCTGGCTCAGGGGGGTACATCACCATCTCATCGTGGTGCTGGTGGGGTGGTGAGGTGCTGATATCTAACACTCCTGTTTCTTCACAGCAATTCTCAGCGCTGACTGAAGTGCTTTTCCGCTATCTGACAGAGCCCAAGGAGGTAAGGCAGAACTGGGGAGATGCGAGTGCAGCTCTGGTCAGAAACAGAGAAAGGGTTTTGTTACTACTCTTTCTCTTGAGCAGGTAGAAAGATTTCTGACGCAGCTCTCAGACTTTGCCACCATGAATAAAATCAGCTTGGGCCCCCTGAAAAACATTGTCAAAAGTATTCTTCTGGTACCCAACGGTAAGTGATGTATTTGCATATCCTGCCCTGAGGCCAATCTGTCCCAGCCATTCCCGCAGGGCTTGGTTTGCACAATAAGTGTTAATGGTAGCTAATACAGTGCTTAGCACTTAAGAATCAAAAGTTCTGTTTGGTGACTCTTTGTATTCTTTATAACCTGCCTGCATGCACATTTCAGGGGCTTAAATAAACTCCCTTAAATATCTGTGCATTAAATGCTGCACAACACGGTGACATTGCTTGGTTTAAGCAATACCTGTAAATCCCTTTTGCCAGATCAGGGCATCCTCGTGTTGGCAGCGAGTCTCTGCAGGAACTTCCACCCAACTGACCCAGTGCTGTAATTCCTCCAAGGCCAAGCGCTGTTGGAGAGAAATAAGACAGTGCAGACGTATTTGGAGTGGGCTGGGACTGGTGCAGTTCCAGACCATGTGAAGGAGACAGCTGACCTTGCAGTTCTAGAGAAACACTTACTGTGTCCAGCTCTTTCTCATTCATAAACAGTGACGAAGAGGTTTGGGGGGATTCCACTGGAATACCCCAGACTCCACCACTTTATAGGATTACTGTGATGTTGTGGCTGCCGTTTGACACGATCATGCATCAAACACTCCACGGCACATTCATCCCATTGATCCTTCCTGTTATTAATAGTCCCTTGCTATTAGCCCTCAGACCTTGGTTCCCTGTAGCTTCTTTCACAGCCCTTATGCTGAGCAAAACTGTTTTCTGAATGTCTTAACACTTTTCTAGTGCTTCAAGCAGGAGTAGCAACAATTTTCTTTCCTGCAACCATCTTATGGGGATTTAGTGTGGAATTGGCACTTTTCCCCACCCTGATTCAGGCCTTGGTGCCCCCATCTTGTCGTTCCTGTGAGCGTGTGCTCCGGCTTCAATCCCATTGAAACTTTCCCTCAGCTCTGGGATGCCACGGACGATATCAGAACAGATCACAGCAGATAACTTTGCATCTGTGCTACACAGCCGGAAAGCCACGTGGGGCTGGCAGTCTCCTTGAATTTATGAGATTCCTGCTCTTGGCTTCAGAGAGCAGAATCCTTGTAAAGGTCCCCGTGCTGCCTGGGCCCCAGAACAAAGGGGGAAGGCGCAGCGGGGGAAAGTGTTATACGCACACGTTCACACCCATCATCCCAAACACAGCAGGTAGGTCAAATTAGCAGCCCGCCAGCCTTAACAGTTCTCCTTTAACAAGCAAAGCGGCTACAGGAGAGAGAGCAGCAGCTTCAAAACATTCCCGCTGCCGCTGTTCCCATGGATACCTGCAATGGGATCTCGCCCTCTCCCCGGCACTCCCAGAGCCCGGACTTTTAAAGCACCGGGCATCTGCAGAGATGCTGGGCAGGCACCACTGGGTTTCCAGTCTCTGAGGAGCTGTGGTTTGCTTCAAAACACAGCTCAGAAACAGAGGCTTTCCCGCGTAGGGTCCCGTCCCTGCCTCTATTTGACTCAGTAAAAATTGGTTTGACTCATTAAAAAGTGATTTTTTTTTTTCTTCATTGTGGTGTTTATTCAGGTGCCCTGAAGAGGAATTTGTCTTCTGAACAAGTCAGAGCAGATTTTATTGCCCTAGGTAGGTCATGTGATTTCCACTAAATAAAAGATAATTAATATTTATCACATATAGTAATCTCATATGGTTTCCCTCTACAGGCCTCAGTGAAGAGAAAGCCAGTTATTTTGCAGAACAGGTATTCATATATTTTTGCTTGTTTCTAAGCTAACAAAATGTCAGTTCTCTGAGCGGGAACTCATAAAACCCCACTGTGCTCCTGATATGCGTTGGCATATTTTGGGTATTTTCTTCAAAACCAGCTTGGGATTTTGAACTGAAGATCCTCAGAAAACTAATAAGGAGCACTTTGTCTGATGGCACCTCTGGTTTGCCAGGGCCTTTCCCCCATCAGTGTCACAGTTCCTGCACTGCTGTGTGGCTTTCATGTGATGTTTTTGTGCTTCCCATGCTTTGAGCCCTGAGGTCATGCAGTTACATGAACACATGGCTTTTTGCACAGATATTGTTACACTGAACCAGTGCTAAAACAAAACCAGTGAGTTTCATTTGCAGAAGTGACAGGGCAGATGGAAATCCTAGCAGGACTCAAACACCTCTGAAAGCCCTCCTGACCACATTAGTTCTCTCTTTACTCTGGGCTTCTGCCATCCTCTGCCTTCCTTCTGATTCTTGTTGAAGTTTCAGGTACAAAGAAAGGCCTCTCTGAATTAATTGCTGGTGTGTCTTTTGCTCCTGTAGTGGAAGGTGAATTCCCCCACCCTAACACGCCTGGCTGTGGGTCAGACACTGATGATTAACCAGCTGATAGACATGGAGTGGAAGTTTGGAGGTAATAGAGCTACAACTTAAACTGGAGGGGCTGGGAAACCCAGCAGCAGCTCTTGGCTAAATAACGTTTTATTTCACCACTTAACTAACAGATTATCTGCCTTCTCTTCTTTCTGACCCACAGTGACTGCTGGGAGCAGTGAGCTGGAAAAAGTGGGAAGTATCTTCTTACAGGTAAATCTCCCACATCACAGAGTTCAGCTTGTAGGGCAGTTGAAGAACAAGCTCCAGCCAGGCATGTGGGAAGGAGAGGGAAGCTCTGTGGGTCTCACATGAACAGGCTCTGTGACTGCATCTTCAGTCTCCAAGTGCTGCTGCCAGCAGAGAGCAGACACGCTGCTGTTTGTTTTTCCTCTGAAGACATGAGGTATCACAGGAACATGGCCCATTCTGAAAAGCTGTTCAAAAAGCTCAGTTTAGCAAAGGTCAACCATCTTGGGGAGGCAGGGAAAGTGGGATCAAGGACTTCCAGAGATCTTCCAATGCCCAGGGTATCTGTTCCCACAGTGGCACTTCTTGAAAAACCTGTCAAATATGCGTGTGCTGTGCAGCAGTCAAACTCACAACAGACTCCTGCTCTGCTGTCCTCTCCTGGTGCTCAGATACAGGTCTCTGAACTAAAATACTTCTGCTTTTCCTTTCTCCAAGCTGAAGCTGGTGGTTAAAAAAGGGAGCCAACTGGAAAATGTGTATGTCGGTGAGTCAACATTTCTGACCAGAGGGAAGGACGGGAAAGCTGCAGTTTGGGGCTCGGGGTGTTGCTGGGGGTGGGGGAGTCTGGGGGCAGAACCAGGGTGGGATAACTGCAAGAGCATCACTGTGGTTACTCCTGCCTCAGCCTCTCCATCACTGTGGCTGTTCCTGCCCCAGTCTCTCCCTGTCACAGGCACTCCAAAAATGTTTATGAGCACTGACTTTTGGGCACCTTCACATCTGTGCCTCAGTAAACACAGATCTGCCACAGAGCAGTGCAGAGCAGTCAGAGCAGCAGGGCAGAGGAGGAAAACAAATGATTCCCAAGCATGGAATACAGCTGGGAGATCCCATCCCAGGGGAGATCCCAGCCTGTCCCCCCTGGCAGCCTGGCCAGCATAAGGACCAGCTGCTGGGAATCACAGTGGCTAATGCTGCCCAGCTTAGGTGAACGTGAGTTGCTCCGTGGTAGCACCAGAACAGCTTTGCCAATGTTGGAGGTGTAACCTGAAATCTAAGACTTTTTGCCTCTTTTTTCTTCTTCAGAGTTAACTTTGCCCCAGTTCTACAGTTTTCTGCATGAAATGGAACGGGTCAAAACCAGCCTGGAAAGCTTCAGCTGAAACTGCACAGACCTGAGCCGACATCTGTCTGGGATGTTTAATTCCTCCTCTGGGCCTGCAGATCTGCTCTTTCCCAGCTGACTCTTCACACCCTGATAAGAGAAGACAAGCTGTGCAATGAGCAGTGGTGTCATGGCCCAGCAGGACCCATCAATCCTTTAGAACCTGAAACTTGGCCTCAGTTTCAGCTTTTTCAAAGCACCTACAAGTCCACTCATCTTTTTATTTTTTTTTTTTAACTATACTATTATGAGAAACTGTGGGCAGAAGTAATGTGGATACCTTTACTAAAATAGCAAAGAAATAAACCCATTCCCATTCTGCTACATTTGTATCAGAATCTGATTTTGTGAGAAAAAGAGAAACAGGAGCAGCGAATCATTTTGATATTTGGAAGGATTAAGAAGAGAGGATGATGAAAGCAAGGAGAGCATCTAATGTGGGGAATCACTTAGTGCTCCCTTCAAGCCTCTCCCTTCTCTTGTATTAAGAAATATGTTGATTTCCTTCTTCCCAATTGTGCCTCATTATGGAAAAGTATCTCAGTGGTAGGTGATTTTAAATCTTAAACAACCAAACAGCTGCCTCTGTGCTTGGGAGGAGGACATCTCTGGGGGTGACGAGATAAATCTCATTTGAATGTGCTGCTCTTTAATCTGCAGCCTGTGTGACATGGCACAGTCGGACCCAGCCCATTTCCTGGTGGACATATGTCCAAACCCCATGAAGTGCCATTAGCTCGGCTCTTCAGTTGTCTGAGGGCAGGGATGAGCTCTTCATCAGGAAGCAGAGGGGTGCTCCAACCCACCTGGGGCAATGTTACAGTCACTGAGGCTCCTCTAATGTCCAGGCTGTTGAGTGGTCCGGCAGCTTGAGCTGGCTGAAGCCTCTCCCACAGGCACAGGGATGAAGAAAGCTCCTCTCACAGAGCATGTCCCAAAGCATCTCTGTGTCCCTGGCATGCTTGGCAGTTCCAGTGAAGGGAATAAACCACATTACCAGGGAATGTCCCAGTAAGAAACTCCTGTTTCCAGCCTCCACCTGAAGGGATTCACTGTTCCATGGCATCCTGCCAGTCTGCTCTGGGGCTCTGCAGCAGCAGCTGCTTCCAGTTAAACTCATCCCAAACAGATCATTTCTGTGAGAAAAGCATCACAAAGCTCCCTGCAACTCACAGCTTCACCCATGGGTTTCCAGCTGCAGCAAACCCAGCATTGAGTGTCCCTGCACTCGCTGCATTTCCTGTGGTGCTGCAGGAGTGACTGAAAACGACAGCAGGCACAGGCTGAGCCATATATTTGGGAACTGGGGAATCCTGCTGGCAAACCCGGGAATGGATTTATTTATTTTCCCACATATCAGGTCAGTCACAAGCATTTCAAGCTTTTTCACATCCTTACTGTAAAAATGAAAAAACAAACCCGAAAACCTCTGAAATAATATTCTACAGAATATTCTGTCTCCTTTTGGGTGGCAGGAAAAGCTGTTTCAGGGAGGAAGAAGCAGTCCAAGTGGCTGCTGCTTTCTCAAGACAAAAGCAATTTTTTTTTGCTTTACATTTTCTGCTGCCTGTTCCCATTATTTCTCACCCTCCCAGTGCCAGGGTGACACCACTCAGCTCTATCTGGTTATGTCAGGAAGTGGTGGAGAAGATGCCAGGCTCGCTTGTGGGTCAGGAATCCGCCGTCCTCTACGCTCCTCCTCCTGCCCGGTTGGGATTAAGCCGCTCGGGGCTGACGCAGGCCGGGCCCGCTGACCCCGAGTGCAGGGGTCACCTCTGTGCTGCCGTGGCGTGACCTCACTGCTGCCACCGGCGCTCCCGGCAGCGCCCTTTTCATCCCACGCGCTTGGCTGTGCCCGAGCCGAGCTGGCAGCCCCGTGGGGAAGGGCTGGACGGGGAGCCAGCCCTGGCAGCACCCGCACAGGGTGATGCCAACCGCGAGGAATCGGGTCACCCTCCCAATGGGGCCGGCCAGGAGCGAGCACGGCTCTGGGAGACAGTGTGGTGGCCACGGCCCTCCTGCCAGCTCAGGGGGGATGGAGGGGGGATGGCCAATGTCCAGAGCCCTGCACTGGGCTCTGGCGGCGGGCACAGCTGGCACAGGCAGCGGGAGGGAAGGAGCGGCCCGGTGCCCGTTTTGCCCCGTGTTTCCGCGCTGCTGTGCGCGGCCCCTTCCGCCTGCCCGTCAAGCCCAGCCAGCCGAGAGCTAATCTCGGCGGGACAGCGGGCGCGGGGGAAACAGGGCCTCTCACAGCCTGGGGTGCAGCTAACCGTACTCCTCCCGCGGCCGTTTGCCTCCCCGAGGCCTTTCCCGGCCCATTTCCTCCGGGGCGGCCGTGCCACAGCCCCCCAGCCCTGTCCCTGCTCAGGGGACACACGTGTGGGCCCTCTGGGCTGCAGCGGGGCAGGGGTGGCAGCCGTGCCCGAGTCACACGCGGTCACCTCTCTGTGTGTGCAGCCATGTCACACGTGGTCACCTCCCCGCGTGTGCAGCCCCCCTCTCGACTCTCTGCCACCTTGGCCACCTTAGGATGCCCCAGATACAGGGGAGGTGGCAGAGTGGCCCCAGCAGCCAGGGTGTGGTGGGGATCCTGTGCTCCCAGGAATCATCCCGCTCGTCCCCACCAGTGCATCAGAACAGGAGCTGCACTCTGGGCTCTGTCAGTTCCCAGCATGGATTTGATGGTGTTGTGATTCTCAGCCGTGTCAGATGCTAATGACCAAGAAAACTGGGATGTTTTCGAATGAAGCATCTTCTCCCTACTGGAAATGCCAGTACTGCTGCTCCTTTTATATGTGAAGGAATCCTCCAAACCCTGAGAACAAAAGCCTCTGCTCTGAGGGAGCAGAGCTGATGTGGACTCCACTCATGCCTGTGAGCCCACGGGCAGGCAGGGAAGGAAGGAACTGGGGCTCCTCATGCTGGCTCTGCCTGACCTTGAGCAGGTTGTGTGGGAGCTGATAGAGCTCCCCTGGGACATCCTGGTTTCCACAGAGCTCACGGGGAGCTGCTCCATGCCGAGGAGTTTCAGCTTGGTGTGAAACCCTGTCCCAAACTTCCTGTTTGCAAAACAGTGATAAATCTCAGGGCTGGCCCACAGCTAGGAGGGAGCCAGAGCAGGTGAGACAAGCCAAGGAGCACAAAGAGCAGGTGAGGGCCCCAAGTAACTGGAGCTCAGCCCAGTGCTGAAGGCAATCCTGCCCTTCCTCACCCCATGCCTTCCCCCTCCCCAATTCCTCCTGGTTTTGGGGTGATGCAGCACCCAGCAAAAACACCAGCTGCTAACTGCAGCTCCCCAGATCGCTCTGTCTGCCTGGGAACAGCAGCCCTGAGCATGCTGGGGGCCCCAGGGCAGCACCAGCACCCTGCTGTGCCACATGGATCCTTGGGGACAGGGACCTGCAGGGGCTGCGTGGGGCTCCCTGGGGTTCCTATGGCGTTTGCTGTCTCCTCACCAGAGCAGACAGGCGAGGGTGGCACTCGGCACAGCACCATGTAGCTGAGGACACACTCCCAGGGACGAGTCCTCAGCCTGCCTTGGGACAGGATTCTGCACCCACTCTGCTCGGAACAGGGGAAGGCGTCCCAGCCTGCCTGTGACACGGAGCTGCTGCCTCTCATTCTTGCAGGAGCTGGGGGAAGAGACTGGAGGTGTCCAAGGCAGTGGAAATATTCCTAGCATGTCGTCTGCTCCTAAGCCTTGCCATCTCTCTAGGCAGTTCTTTGTCCAAGCACACTGGGAACAATTGGGGCTGCTCAGCCAGACCGCAGGCTGTCGATCAGCAGAGGGAATGAATGCTCCAGCATACGGAACCCATCTTCTCCCACAGCAAGGGGAGGTGGCCACCAGAAACCAGCCTGTGGCACAACAGCACAGGCACAAACAATGCCTGGGCACCCATGCCAGTGCCAGCCTCAGGAAGGGGGTGGGTGCTCCCCAGGCCATCCAAGGAACAACCCAACGGGAGGGAGTGGCTGGGCATCCCCAGGCCCCATGTGGGGCTGAGGGTGGCATGGTTGGCACAGCCATGGTGACAAGGTCCCTGTGTGATCCTGCACTGCAAGTGGCTGAGGAGGAAGAGCTGAGTCCTGAGGGACAGAGAGGAGCCCCCAGGCTGTGGGATCAGGGCTTGGCCAGCCCCTCTCAGCACCCAGCGCCTTCAGGGTGTCCTCTCCAGGGCTGATGGCATTTACTCCATTGCAGCACAGCTTCACAAAGGATGCCAGGCCCTGCAGTGACAAATCCATCCTGTCCCCAAGAGCTTGATACAGCTTCTCCTCTCCGTGACACCCTGAGCAGCCATGGGCTGGTGCATGGGGGCGGGAGCACCCACCAGCCCCCCGCTGAGGCAGCTCAGCCCATTTCCCAGCACTCAGCTCCAGTTTATAGGGCTGCTCTGTCCCAGGGGCATCACTGCCACAGCTAACGAGGTTATCCCAGACCAGGCACCGACAGAAAGGGAAGGCAGGGTTAACCCTTGTGCCACTGCCACATCCCACAGCACTGGGGAACAGCTTTGCTTGGAAACGAGATTTTAACAAGCCCCAGTGGGAATGGAAAGCTATGAAACACCAGGGGAGGATTCCCATGCCAGCCCCAGCACCATAGCGTCCCTCCTCTCGGAGCAGTCCCATATCCATGACAGCAGCACCAAGCCCTGAGGCTACACCTTGCAGCCGGTGTCCATGGCAGCAGCACAGAAAGGACGGTGCCTGACCCCCCTCATGTCCCCAGCTCTCAGCCTTGTTTCACATCGACAGCCGGGATGTGGATAAGGAGCAGGATGCAGCCAGGGTGCAGGCAGGAGACGCTGGGTGGCGAGGCCATTGCTGCCCACAGGGACACAGCACGGCTCAGCTCACATTCCTGCGGGAGAATGTGAAGGCTGCAAGCAAGGTCAAGGGCCCTTCCCTGGCTGGAAGTCGGCGTCACGCCAGCACCCGGCTGGCCCGACCCGCCGTCCCGCGGGGCTGGGGACTGTCCCTGCACCCTCACCCCGCCGCCCCTCATCTGCAGGGCTGGCTGGGACACGGGTGGGTGCTGGCAACGCTCCCCAGGGACCACCAAAGCGGGCAGCCCTGTTCGCCCGGCTCAGCATCCCCCGCGGGGGCAGGATTGGGGTGGGATCCCCAGGCAGGGCGCCGCCGTTTCCACCCCGCTGCTGAGACCCGACAAACTCGCGGCACCGCCGGGCGGAGCCCCCGGCCCGGCCCCGCTGCGCTGCGCGGTGCGAGCCAGCAGAGAGCGACAGAGCACCGCGCAGGGCCCCGCTCCCCCATCGCTCCCCGCACCCACCCGGTCCCACCCTCCGGACACCCCCATCGCCCCCCCCCAGTCCCATCCCCCGGACACCCCCATCGCTCCCAGTCCCACCCTCCGGACACCCCCATCGCTCCCAGTCCCACCCTCCGGACACCCCCATCGCTCCCAGTCCCACCCTCCGGACACCCCCATCGCCCCCCGCACCCACCCAGTCCCACCCTCCGGACACCCCCATCGCCCCCCGCACCCACCCGGTCCCACCCTCCGGACACCCCCCATCGCCCCCCGCACCCACCCGGTCCCACCCTCCGGACACCCCGCCCCGCGCCCTCCATTCTCCGGGCTTCGCTCCCGCATCCACCGCTCCCGTCCCCCGCCCTCTCTCCCCGGGGCATCCTGCCCGCCCTCCTCCAGGATATCTCCCTGCATCCTCAGTCCCCGAGCATCCCTCCCTCCCTCCCTCCCTCCCCCGTCCCCTTTCCTCGACGCATTCCTCTCCCTCATCCCTTCCCCAATCCTCCTCCCGGCCCCATGGACCCTCCCTCCCCGCTCCCGGCAGGCAGCCCCCCGACCTCGACCCCCCCGCCTCTCGCTGCCAGCAGCACCATCTCCCCCGCAGTTCCCATAGGCGCTTTCCCAGTCGGGAGCCCCGCAGCCACACTTTTCCTCGCCCACCCCAAAGCCGGGCGTCACCCCCGTCATCCCACCCCAGCCTCCCTGGACTGCCCCTGCAGCAGCCCCAGCCCCGAGCACCGGCTCCCCCCGCCTACGGCAGAGCCCCCCGGGCTGGCTCAGCTCCGGGTTGTGGCCAGGAGCCCCCGGACTTATTGAAAAGCAATAAAACTGAAGCCGAGCATCCCTGCTCCGTTCTGTCACCCGCGACTCGTCATGGAGTGAGCTCCCGTCCCACCGCACACGCCCTGCGCTGCGCTGGGTCAGGCAGTTCTTCAGTCGGGCTGGCTGTGATAAGAGCAGATTAAAAATAATCATAACAATAACGAGGAGACCCGTCACCTCTCTGGGGGACATCTCACGGCGCCTGCTCCCAGCCAAGCAGGCTGGGACTTTCAGCTTCCACCACCCCGAGGGATTAGCTGTATTTATGGATTTATCGATGTTAGCCCACCCCCCTCCGCCCCACACACCCCCCGGGGGATGCCGGAGGGTGCCTGTCCCACTGCAGGTGGCCTCAGCAGGGCCGGGTTCCAGGGAAGCAGCAGGAGCACGGGATGCTGGGCTCTCTGGAGCCCCCCTGGGTGCAGAGAAACCAACGTGCCGGGCAGGCTGCATGGGGTGGGACTTGGGGGGGAGCCAGAGCCCCCCTCCCCGGGCTGCGGGCGTGGAGCAGCTCGACAGAGCACTGTCAGAGCAGGTGAAAGAAAGGGGGAGCACCCACCTTTCCACCAGTTTTTCTACTTGCTCCATCTCACATATAGCAAATTCTGAGCACACAATGCAGTTATTGAATAAAATTATGCTTTTTTTAGTACTTGTATGCGTGTGGTTTTTAAGGCTCTGCCTAGAAACCAACCTCTGAGCCAGGAGCAGAGAGATCAGAGGGGAAAGCCAAGCCAGCCGTGGACAGCTGTGGGACACGGAGATGCAAGCGCAGCACTGTCAACCATAGCAGCTGGCAGGTGACACATCCAGCCCGTGCAGGTGACGCGCCCATCACTCCTTCCACTCCAGGAAGAAGGAGAAAGCACTCCTGGCTGGGGCAGGGATCATTAGGGAGAGTGGCCACCGCGGCCAGCCCGGGGCTGCCTCGCTTCTCCTCTCCCTGTCGCTGTCTCTGTCCCCCGTGGCGCCAGCTCTGTCCCCTCCCGCAGAGCTCTGCCTGTGCCCGTGAGGACGAGTCCTGCCTCCCCTCCGCCATCTCGCTCTCCCTGCAGGCAGCGGAGCCGAGGAGCTGCCAGCTCCATCTGCACAGTGCAGCGAGCAGCGGGCCAAGGGGCAGGACCCACAATCCCATTTCCTTGGAGCACATTGTGCTCCCGCCTCGCCAAGGGTGTTGGAAATGGGTGGCTGTAATAATGGCGCCGTGAATAACTGCAGCTCGCTCGCTGTGGCCTCCAAGCTCAGTGTGCTCCAGCTCCAGCCTCATCCCCTCCCAAGGCTGCTCCCTGCCATGACGTGCCCTGGTTTCCAACCTGCCTTATAACCTCCTGCCTTGGCCCAGGTAGCTGCAGTCCCCACACCCACCCACAAGCTCCCATCAGCACTTCCCCCATTGCAGCTGGTTTGGCTTTGAACTGTGTTCTCCTCCCATCAGGACCCCCATGGACTAGGGACACAAAACCCCCAAACAGGGACGCTGCTGCCCTGTGACAGGCAGTGCTGCCCAGACATGGAGCAGCACAAAGGGCTCATGGAGCTTTTATTGCTGCTGGTCCCGCACGGCTCTCCCAGACCTGCCTGGAGCAGAGCCTGCCCTTGGAGGCAGCATTCTGCAAACGGCATCCCTGGGGCCCTCCCCAGGGCCGGGGCGCGGGTCCCTACTCCTGCAGCAGCCCGGATACAGGGCAGCAGGTTCTCCTCTGCCACCAAACCTGGCTGTGGCTGCACTGGTGCCATCTGTTCATCAGGCACAGTCCCGTGTCATGCTGTGCTGTGGGAGCCGTGCCAAAGCTCACGGACCCTGCTGGAGCACCCGCACTGGAACCGGGCTCTGAGTGCCGCGACCGATGCGATTTGCAGCCCCGGTGAAAAGATGAGGGCACAGATGCCAGCGGCGTTTCCTGCCTCTGGAGATGAGCCCCGTTGGGTGGGGCTGCCGGTGCTCGGGTTGTGGGGGTAGCTTGGGGGAGTGCCAGGGCTCAGGTGGGAGGCATCTTGCCAGACCACCCCCCAGCTGGGGAGATGGGTGCCCTGTGGGCTCCCAGCAAGGACGCAGTAGTTGCAGGGCTGGAGTGGCGTTGGGAAGCCTCGGGCCGGGCTCTGTCCTGCTCTGCTTGCTCGGGAGTGAAAGGATTTGTCAATAGGGAACTGATGAGTCCCGAGGGCAGCGAGCTCGCCCTCCTCCCAGCACCCCCCGTCCAGCAGGTGGGCTCCTGAGGGCACACGGCCATTGCAGGCACCCACAGCAGGCTGGCCCCAAGTGCCGACTGCACCGGAGGGTCTGAACCCAGTGTCCCACCAAAACCCCCAGCGTGGGGACCCCGACCCTGCTGGCCAGACAGCACAGCAGCTCTGGAGGTTCTGACCCCCTAAGGTGTTTCTGCAGGATGCTCAGTGTGACCCGGGCAGTGCTTGGCACACGGAGCAGCCACACGCGGCGGAGACAGGAATATGCTTTCACCAGGAGAACAAGAAGAGCCTCTGATGGCTGCCATGTCCCTTGTAAACACCAACTTTGAGAGCATCAGATTACAGCCGCTGCCTCGGCTCCAAACAAGATGCTAATCGGGAGCACGGAGGCACCCTGCCTGCATCCTGCCTGCACAGGGGGGAGCACCGGGAGCCTGGTGGCACCGCAGAGGCCATGACACCCTCTCCTGCACTGCAGGACTGCCGGGGCTCGCTGCGCCCCGACCCCACACAGCACCGCGACCCAGTGCGCCCCGGGGGAACGGGAGCTGCCCGGCCCCGGCGGAACCGCTGCTCGCTTATCCCGAGTGCGTGGCAGCGAACACACCGCGCTCCGCTGCAGCCCCGCTGGGACACGCACTGCCCGTCCCCGGCAGCCGTGGGTGTGCGGGGGGTGGTTCCCAGAGAGGGCTGAGAGAACCGAACCCGCGGGCCCGGTGTCCCGGCTCCGGAGATGCTCGGTCCCACGGCCGCTCCCCGAACCTCCTCGCGGCAAGGCCGGTGTCCGGCTGCAGCCGCCGCCCCAAGGAGAGCTCGGGGAGGGCACGGCCGGGCAGGGCCATTCCCGGGGCCGCAGCTGGCGGGATTGGAGGCAGCTGCCCGCAGCGCGGGCCTCCCCCTCCCCGCTGCCCGCCGCCCCCCTTTCTCAGGCAGGAGCCGCTCCGGCCGCTCCCTGCTGAGCGGTCCGGGCTGCGGGGACGGAGCAGCCCCCGCTCCCTCCTCCTCCGAGAGGTTCCTCCCGCCGCCGGTCCCGCACAGCGCAGGGACACCGGGACCGGCCGCTCCCCGCCGCGGGGGCTCCACGCTCGGCCGGGCCGGGGTGCGCGGTGCCGGCGGGGACACGCGGGACCGCGGCTGCGCCCACGCTGCGGCAGCTGGCGCGGGGCGGCGGGGATCAGCTGCGGCCGGGGATCAGCTGCGCCCCGCGCCGCCCCGCCGGGGCCCCCCCGTTCCCTGGGGAGCGGCCCCGGCCCCCCTCGCACCGCCCGCCCTGCCCGCCCTACCTGCCCGCCGCCCTCCCGGCCCTCCCCGGGGCGGCTGGCGGCCGCCCAGCCCGGAGCTGCCCTGCTCCCTCCTCCTCCTCTTCTACTTCTCCTCCTCCCGCGGGCACAGCCCTGTCTAATCCCACGGGTGTCAAATCCACGGCGCGGCTCCGGCCGTGGCGGGGCCGGAGCGGATCGGATGGGGCGGGCGGGGAGGAAGGCGCGGGATGCTCGGGCGGGGGCAGCCGGCCGAGCCCCCCCTCCGCACACCGCAGCCATGGCAACGGCGATGGGCTGTCCCAGCCCGGCCGCAGCGCAGGGAAGGCGAGAGGGACGCAGGGAGGGAAGGAGCCGCCGGGCGATTCCTGAGGGGCTGGCACACACAGAGCCGCTGCAAGCGACCGGAGCCAATCCCCCGGCTCTCTTTGTGATGCTTCCTGACACAGATTCCCTCTCCATGGCTGACTTTGCAAGTTTCCCCATCCTCTTCCCCTCCTCGCGCGGTTCCTTTTCATGCGACTAAATTATACACGAGAGGAGGGACATGCTGGAAATTCTAGTGGCAAAATAGAAATGAGCAGATTTGCGCAGGCGGCTGCAGCCCGGCCGCCTCCGGGACTCCTGTGAGCCGAGAGGGACCGGACCTAGTCCCAGGGCAGCAGCAGCATAAAACCCGTGAATTCTGAAACCACCAAGGAAAAGGCTTTTCCTGCGGCAGCAGAGAAGCGCGGGCGTGTGGAGCAGTGGTGGGTGCCGGGACCGCGGCCCCTCACGGAGGGCGGCTGCTGTCCCAGCGCACAGCACCCTCGGGGACAGCGGGCGACGCATTCGCTTCCCCGGAGAAATGTGTTGTTTCCGAGCCAGTAAAAAATATGCAAATCTGGGAGGGCTGGGCCTCAGCCTCCGAGCAGCCTTTCTCCCCTTCCTCCCCTTCCTCCCCATCCCAGAGCTGCGCGGGGCGAGCGGAGCCCCGGGCAGCCGCGGGAAGGGAAAGGCGAGGCGGGGGAGCGCGGGGAGGCAGGCGAGGCGGTCGGGTGGGATTTGGGGTGTCACGGAGCAGGACGGGGAGATGGGCACGGGATGGGCTCCTCCAGACCGCGGGCATGCGGAGAAGGCTCCTGCTCCCGCAGCCGGGGTGGGTGGAGCATGCTGTCACTTTTTGGTGCTGGGCAAGCCCGGCATCGCTGTCGCAGGATTCCTGCCTGTGCAATGAGTCAGGAGCAGCGCTGCCACGTTTTCCTCCTACGGGCAGCGTCCCGTGGCGGGTCGGTCGTGCTCCGCACCGGGACGCACCCGCACACGCGGTGCTGCTTCAGCTCCGACGCCACGTGGGTGGGTGAATCTCCGGCAGAGACTCTCCGGGGAAACCCCTCTGTTGGGAAGGATGAGGACACCGACCTGCAGCTCGGACGAGATGTGGAGCGCCTGGCTCAGGCAGTGATCCCACGGGACACGGGCATATTCCTGTGCCTGCGTCCCACCTCCTCTGCCAGACAATGAAACACTGCCCTCCTTCCCAAGTCGCAGCAGAACAAATAAAGCAAGCGCCATATGGTGCCAAGACACGCTGGAAATGGGGCCAAGCCCAGGAGGTAGGGGAGGTGGCAAGCCTCCATCCCCACACCAGTCCCCATCGCCAGCTCCAAGCCAGGGCTGTCCTTGGGGGACATGTGTCCTTGCCCACTCCTCCTCCTCCCCCCGCAGCCACTGCCCTGCTGCCAGGCACAGCTCTGCATTTCAGCCGTGGCTTTGCCTGCAGTCCTGGGGGAGCACAGAGACCAAAGCTGCCCCCGAGAGCACTTTCTCCTCTAAGGGCTGGCCCGGGGACACAGGTGTCACCGGTGGACTGACATTGTTGTCAGACCATGCATGCCCTGCACCCTGCCATGGGATAGGAGTGGGACCACAGGAAGCTTGTCCCCACAGGGGCTGGAGGAGAAGCAGGAGGAGAAGCCTCCCACCTGCTCCAGGCTGCCGCAGATACCCCACTGCAAGAAGAAAGTGGCACCATGTTCCTGCCTGTCACAGCAATCCTCCTGCCTGCATCCTCCCACAGCCCTGCAGCTCCTGGATACCCTGTGTGTTTTCAGGCGAGTCACCTCCAAGCACAGGCAGCCAGCAGTGAGGTCCCTCCCAGGAGATTTGGGCACCCTATGGCAGAGCTTTCAGAGGTGCTGAGCGCCTGCAATTCCCTGCAGCCTGCTCTGTGGAGCAGAACACCTCCCTCCCAGCCTGCCCTGGCTGCCCCAGGCCTGACGCAGGAGAGCAGATCCCAGAGTTTCCTTGGGGGCAGGATATGATGAGCTCCTGGGGGAAGAGGGGAACTCCAGGAGCCCTTCACACTCTAACAGACCTTCTGCATGTGTGGCAAGCAGATGCCAGCCTCATCTGTGCCTGGGAGCCAGGTCACAGAGCTCGTGTGACACCTACCCCCCTGCCACCCTCATTCACCCCTTTCCCTCTGCAAGGGCCTCCAAAAGTGAAACACCTGCCTCTGTCCTCCAGGTTGAATCAAAGGGAGGATCTCTTTTGTATTTGAAGTTTTGTAGCCACAGGGCTCAACTCTCTCACTGCAAATGTGAGTAGATCATTTGCACCTGAGTCACAGAGATGAGAATCAAGTAAGTTGTGCAAGCAAAGGACTTTGTTGAATCATACACAAAAATGTTGGGATGATAAGGATCAGACAGGACCCAGGAGTAGCCCACAGATCTCTCCATCTCTGTGCCATCCTGCTTCCTACTTTAAAGAGGCAGCACTGCCTGATGTGTGTGTGTCATGACCTGGCTCCATCCCTACCTATCTATGCTCCCATGACCTGGCTCCATCTTCTCTGCCTTAACTATGGATCCTCTGGGAATGCTCCACACCAATGAGTGCTTGACAGCTGCTCTGCAGATCCAAAGCACTGTGTGAAAATAGTATTATTTATTGACAATGTTAGAGGTAACGGGAAAAGCAAGAGGCAGCCTTGTCCTGCACAGCCTACCTGGATCCCTGCAGAGGGAAAGCGAGCAAGGCTGAGGGTCCCAGCTTGGTGCTGTTTGCTGACCAGTGGCTGTGGAGGTCTGCTCTCATCCCAGTCCCAGCTCCACTTGGGCTTCTTACCCACCACGTGTTGATAAACAGAAAAAAAATGTACAATGGCTGCATTGAAGTTCCCAGTTAAACAGAACAGCAGTGGCTGCTCGGAAGGGGAACTTCTGCATTATCTTTTGCTCTGTTAATTTAGAGGTGGGACTTGCTGAAACAGGGACAATCCACAGGGCAAGATCTGGATTGTTGAACACCCCCAGTGTGAGATCTCAGGCAGGGTTTAATGCCAGTAGGCAAAAGAACAGCAGCAACCCCAAGAACAAAGGGGACACGGGTATTTTGGGGCAGGCTGACTCCTAGGAGAAGGGGAAGGAATCACTGGGAGAAGTGGGGCTAGCCCATGCCATATTCCAGCACATGCAGCTGCAAGGTGAGGCCACAGATCCCAGTTGGATCACCAGGTGCTGAGTGGCAATGGGCTCCAGCAGAGGCCAGGGATCCTGCCTGGATCACCAGGCAGCGATTGGCAGCAGGCTCTGCTGAGGATCCAGCTCTGGCACCACAGCCACACACACAGGGCAGTGTCCAGCTGCTGCAGAGGGAGCACAGCTGAACCCAGCAAGGTTCTGACTGCAGACAGCAACAGCACAGGCAGGGAGAGCAGGAAGGAAGCCCAGGCAGGGAGCACAAGCAGAGGAACAGAGGCAGGGAACCCAGGCAAGAGTGCCAGCAGCAGCAGCCTACCTAGGGGAGAACCAGGGAAAGCCTGGGGCCCACGCTGTGACCCAGGACCTTGCTGCTTCCCAAGCCCCTGATGGTGTGACAATCCAGGGGTCTGCAGCCTGGTTTGTGCTGAGTTGGCAGGGTCCTGGCAGGACCCTGTGCCTGGAGGAGGCACGGCAGGCTCAGCCCAGAGCAATCTGTTGGGATTGAAGTGGGAGGTGAATTAACGGCAGGGGAAGAACGACTCCCCGGTAGCTCCAAAGTCAGCAAGGAGCCGAGCTCTAACGAGCCTCGAGGAGGCTGGAGCCCTCCGTGCCATTTCATCTCTGCTGCTCTGCGTCGGATTTCCCAGGAGCCCTGCAGCCTCGGCCACATTAATTATGCAAATGAAAAGGTGATGCCAACTCACCGTTCCTCGGTAGGGTCCCCGCGAGGGAAGTTGGGCCCGGGCAGTGCCCTGGCTGGGGCAGGGAGGGTCCGGAGCACACCAGGCAGGATGGATGTTTGCAATAATTATCCAGTCATCCCCTTCAAGTGTACTGCAGCCATAGCAACAGACAGATGTTCTGTCCCAGCCAGAGTCCGCAGCGAGCTGGGGAGGGAAGCACAAAAATTAACCCGTTCAGCCCTAGGATGGCACAGAATCCACTTTATCCTGGGACCATCCCACACTTGGGACATCCCTGAGGAAATCAGGCAAAAACCTAATCACATGGTCCCCAAATTAATCCAGGAGAAATTGCCCCAGTGCTGTCTGACACAGAAAGTTGGATGAGAATCAGCAGCATCCCCTGGGATGGGGTATGGCTTTGGGAGGGCTCTGCTGTCTCCTGTCCCACATGGAAATAGCGTGGCTGAAGCTCAGCATCTCCTGGGGGTGATGCTGCAGGTGAGGCTTTTCAGCTGTGCTGGTCACCAGCCTTTGGACAAGGATGGATGGCATCAGGAACGTGCTCAGGGACAGCCACAAGCAGCTCTGCCATCAACAGCCACACAGTGCCCTCAGCACAGACCCTGCTGGGCACCCAGCTGGGCAGGAGGGATGGATGAGACACATGGACCAGTGTCCACCTCTGAGTTAACAGCTGGGTCAAAGCCTTTAAAGTATTTGGAGGTGGGATGCAGCCAGACTGAAGTAGAGCTGGCATTTCATTTTCCTGCTGCTGTACAAGTTCCCAGGATTCAGCCTGAGTCCATTAAATCTCACCCAGAAAGATCACCACAATGTCCCCCAACACACCAAAAACATGAACCCAGCTTTCCCTGGGCCCTGCTGAGCAGGCAGCACTCCCCAGGCACAAGGTGTCTTCTCCCCCTTCCAGGAATTCCTGCCAGCATTGGCATTTAAATGTTGTAAGCCAAAGGCCAGACCCCTATGGGTGGGTCCTCTGGAAGGATCAGAGCTGCCCACCCCAGCTTTCCCCTCCTGTGCCAGCTGTGCCCAGGGGTCCTGAAGAAAGCAATGCCCTGATTTCAGAGTAGGCTCATTGGAAAGCCCCATCCAGATGTTTGCAGCTGCAGATGCTGCTGGAGTGTACCCATGGTGAGGGTTTCAAAGGAGGGCAAAGGGGCTGGATAGGGTGGCCTGAGCAGATGTGCCTGGAGTAACAGATCACACCTGGAAAAATGGAGAGGACCTTGCTCTGGACTGGTGGAGGAAGACAGACCCCCCAGCACTGAATTAGAGAATCAAGGAACCACAGAACTGCAAAGGACAGAAAAGACCTCTAAGATCATCGAGTCCAACTGTTAACCCAACACAACTGTGAGAGGTCACAGGAACAGTCTTACTCCTTCAACTGTAAGATTATTTTTGGTTCATAGTCCTTCCCTCTTGTTCTCTCCACGCAGACAATGAGATCTCCAGCTTGCCGAGGGCACCCCAGCTCCTCCTGGCTGCTCCTGGCTGCTCCTGGCGCGCTGCTGACAGCTTGTGCCGCCTCAGCACAGCCTAGCCTGGAAATCTGTGGTCTCCTGGTTGTTTTTTTTTTTTTTTTTTCCTTTTTCCCTTCTTTCTCCTGAAGAGAAAAAGCAAGGAAGGGTGAATTTGCTGGTCTTGAAACTGAGGGAGACGTGGCATCATGTGCAGTCACAGAGGATGTGGGCAGGTGCCATCAGCCTTCCCCACGCAGCTCTGGGAATGGAGCTCAGCCCTGCTCTGCAGCTCCCTGGCTGTTCCTGCCCAGGCTCCCACACAGCTCTGGCAGCTGCTGGGTATTTCAGTTCTTCCCCACGGCGCCAGGCTACCCCACTCCTTCTGTGGCTCTTCCCCCAAGCACATCAATCCAGTGGCCACGTGGTTTGATTCCCAGCCTGCTGAAGAGACACCGGAGACTGAATAAGAAAGTGGGAAAAATGTCTATTATTTCCACAAATCCCCTCTCAATCTGTGACTCTGGCTGCTCTGCTTCTCTAAGTCCCAGGCCTCTTCCAAGCAGAAGTCCAACCAAATGATGTTTGGTGCTGTGATACAGACAGAAATCCAAGAGGCTTCAGAAGGAATCCACACTCCTTGCTGACTTCCTTCAGCTGCTTTGACTTATTATCTGACCTGGATCTAAATTAGGTTTTGATTAAAGTCAAGAATAATTCTACTTGGGGAAACCTCATTGTTTATGCTCAGAGTTAGCAAAAGCTACAGGAGAATTAAATCCGATTTCTCACACTGGGCACAGAGACCCCAGTGGGACCCCTGGCAGTGCCCAGTGCCCGCTGTGAGAGGCAGCCACACTGGGCCATGTCACCCAGAACCTGACCAAACTCTTCTTTGCAGCCACCAGGTTCTTTTCCTAATTCTTCTCTGAGGTCACTCCTGTGGACCCTGATGATTCCAATGCTTGGTCAGCATCTCCTTGTTTCAGACAGGGATATTCATGGTCTGTTCATTTTCACTCCTCTTGCCCTCAGGTGGTGCCAGGGTTTAGCCCATGTCCCTCCCCTGTGTCTATCTCTGGTTTTCCACAAATGTGTCTTCTCTCAGCATCCATTTCTCAGAGATCAGGGAGCTGAGTCATCTCTGTAAGACACTCTCCTCTCTCCTGAACAACCCAGCAAACTCTCTCTGCACTAGTTTCAGGCTAAATTCTCTCAGTGTGGCTCACCAGAACCAGGTGGCAGTCCAAAGTGTTGCCAGAGCCCTCATACTTTTCTCTGCCTTCCTTGAAATGACTCTCCCAAGACAATTTGGGCTCATTTCCCCTTTCCATCCTGCTGGTGGATCACTGATCACCCCTTGGTAGATCACACATCTCCACCCAGCCTTGGGCAGGTGAACATCTCAGATGCAGACAGAGACACACACACACTCCCTTTGTGTTTGATGGGAAGAATGAGGCACTTCCAGTGTCTCACTCCCCAGGGAGTGTTCAGAGGTTGGAGATGTATGGTTTCTGTGGGTGCTCATTGTCTCACACTGTCTGTAGAGACAGTTGAGACACCCAGGTACCACTGGCTGTCCAGCTGTCAATGTAAAGTTGCCAGAGCCAAACATCATCCATGGTGATGCCATAAGTACCTCAAAATTCTCTGTCCCTCTTCAAGGAAGCACTCCTGGATGCCAGCACAAGGGATGGTTATTAACACCTGAGTTCCCTTTGTGTGGCTTGGCACTAAATGGTGTCTAAGGTTGGGCTGGGTGCTGTCCTGCCCACTCCTCTGCCTGGCTCTCATCCCACCCAGCAACTCTCAGGGGCAGCCAGTAAATAGTTCCAGTTTTAGCTCTCCTCAAGTACGAGTCCAGATGATGACCAACAAGACCAGGTGTTCAAGGTTGGACAGGGCTTGGAGCAACCTGGTCTAGTGGAAGGTGCCCCCGCCCCATGCAGGGTGCTGGTACAAGATGGTCTTAAGGTCCTTTCCAACCCAAACCATTCCATGTTTCTATGATCATTGGAGTATTTAATGAGACGTCTCTGGCAGCATGGCAGGATTTCTTCCCATCTTGTATGTTGTTCAGACCTCAGTAGGTCCCAACTGCTTTGCCCTGTGCATGTCCAATCCCTGGTCCAGCTGAGCATTTGTGTCAGAAGACCAAAAATTTCTTTAGAACAAAACACAACTTGTATGAAGTTAGAAAGGCACCTAAAAGAGGAAAGAGCAGCAGAGTGCTTAGATAAAACCCAAATCCAACTTTTTAAAATGTAGTATAAATAGCAATGGCCCTGGAGTCACCACGTTTGTCTATAAAAAAGCCATCAGCAGAGACCCTTTGCTGAACACACCCAGTATCTGACAGCCTGAACCAACAGCTGAAAGTTCAGCAAACAATTCCTCTTTCTTCTTCCCCTACCTTTAAGGACAAGAGTGCCTCAACATCATGCATCCTAATCTGGAGTGTCATGAGATTGCTCATGCAGTGCAAGTCAAACCCTCACTGGGTCCATGCTGGATTTGATCTAAAACATTGGTCTGAACCTTCAAGCCAGGTGTGAATGGTCTCCCTGAATCCTCACTCTGAGGACATCAGTTCTTGGTGTGACTGGCTTTGCATCCACAAACTGGGGGAACTCATGAACATGCTCACCAGAGAGGGACCCTCTGCTTTGCTTTATAAGTGGACCCCAAACCTTCCAATGGTTGGGCTGAGGTAGGAGAAGACTTCTGCCCCTATGGTGCTGCAAGAGGACATTTCCTTTGCACCAGCTCCTCAGTAGCTCAACTGCAAGGTGGGGAATTCAGTGGTGACCTCAGTGAGGAAGTCTGCTCATGGTGAAAAGTGCAGCATCTATTCTGGGTAGAACAACTCCTTGGCAGAAGGAAAATGTTCTTTCATTCCCTTCCTTGCTCAACATTTCCTGCAAAGTGGCTGGACTCCAGAAAAAAGGATTTACCCTGGCTCTCCTGACCATCCAATGGTCCCCACATCTCTCACATTGCTGACTCAAGCTCTCATAGGATCCCCCATAGGCTCACTTGTTCCAGCCAGCTCTGAACAACAGCTCAGCCAGTCACTGCTTTGTCTGGGACAAGTGTATGCCCAGGGGCTGGAGCAGGCTGAGAGCCGAGCCTG